ACCAGAAGAGTAGATAGGCAGATGGAGCATTGGAGGGAAAGAAGAATGTTCCAGGCTATGGGAACAGCATGTGCAAAGGCCCTGTGGCCAGACGGAGCATGCTGCTTAGCAACTTAGCAATACAATAGTGTGTCTGGTGCATCGAGCATATGTGGGCAACAGAAGAGAGGCTGGGCCAGAGGCCACAGCACTCAGGCCAGGTCTTGTAACCACATGGAGGAGTTCGGACTTAATACTGTGGGTCATGAAGAGCTGTGGAAGTGCCTGGAGAAAGGGAGTGGATGGGTCAGCTCTGACTCTCTTTGTAAGTGGGGGAAGGACAGAGAGTTACACAGAAGGCAGGTGACTTGGCCCAGGAAGGCGGGTGGGCGAGCTCCTCCTCAGATCCTGGGGCTCTCTCTCTCTTGGTGAGTCTGGTGATCCTGGGGTTGAGGGGTAGGATACACACCCTGTCTTCTCTTTGCACAGCAGCAAGATGACCTGGGAGCAGCTTTCCAGACGTGGATGGACACAAATGGAGCACTGAAAGCAGAGGTACCCCGAGACCACTGCCCACATGGGATCCCTTCCCGGGGGAGACAGAAGGGACGGCTCACATATAGTCAGTGCCCTCCACGTGGCCTGCCCCGAGAGTTCCATAGCTCATTGGTTTCCTGTGCCGGGGCCTGGGCAAAGTTGATACTAAGTCGGCTCTCAGGATTCACAGTCCAGGGAAAGGGCAGCCTGGAAGAGCCCATTGTCTTCCTTCCAGCCTGGGGGTGGTCAGTGTAAAGACCTCCACTGACCCCTTCTGGAGGGATTTGGGGCCACTGCGGAGTGTCCTGTACTCTCGCAGCCCCCACCCGGTTCCTGGCCCCCAGTTTCCTTATCTGTCCAGTGAAAGGAGCCCCATCATGCCCCTAGGAACTTGGGCCAGGCCAAGACCCCCTCTCTCTTCACGACAGGGTTACAACCATCCAGACCGGCTGGTGCTGGACCAGGGAGGGGAGATCTTTAAAACCTTACACTACCTCAGCAACCTCATCCAGAGCATTAAGACGCCCCTGGGCACCAAAGAGAACCCCGCCCGGGTCTGCCGGGACCTCATGGATTGTGAGCAGAAGATGGTGGATGGTATGAGGGCTTGTGGGGTCTGAAGAGAGGGCTTCTTGCCCCAGGGGTGGAGCAGGCGGTGCAGGGGAGTTCCAGGAGGGGCTGAGGAGAGGGACCATTCAAGTCTTGGCTCATTGGGGCCAAGTTTCTGTCCTTGGGGAGGCAGGCACATGAGGCAGTCCCTTATCCGCTCAGCAGTCACTGAGCCACACCATATGGCCAACCTTGTGCCTCCTGGGGTGTAAGTGAGTGGTTTTACCCTTTCAGAGCCTGCAGATCTACAAGCTGGGGACAACCATTTCAGTGCAAGGAGACAAGAGCTTTGGCAGGACAAGCCCCCAAGGGCCAGGAGGGGACAGGGGGCTGGGGGAGGGGGCTGCCATGGATGCCCTGAGAGCCAGGATTTCACCCCTTTCTGTCCACACCTCTTCCCTCCACTGACAAGAAGGTGGACTAGTGGCTGGTTGTCCCACTCTTTCGGCTGTGGGGCCTTTGGATCCCTTGGAAGCCCAGTGGGGAAACCAGATGCCAGCACAGGTGTCCAGTGGGTGGGGTGGAGGCCTGATTTACCCTCCTCCCCCAAGCAAGCCCCTAGGAGGATCACTAGCCTTGGGGGAGAACCCATTTAACTAAATGAGCCCGAAATGCCTTGGGCTAGTGATTCACCCTCTCTCAGGCCTCAGCTGCCCCCTCTGTAAAATGGCCCCTTCACAGTAGCAGTGTGGGCCAGTGCTCAGCCGAATGCCCCCCCCAGGGGCTCTGCCCGCTGTGAACTCTGCTCACAGCCTGTCCTTGCATCTCAGTGGCTCCTGGAATCCTTTCCCGACTTCAGGCCCAGCTGGGCTCGGTGGGTCCCAAGGTTTGGGGTTCACCTGCAGAACCGGGCCCTGGGCTCCCTCCCCCTCACATACCTGTACCATCCCCCCTCCACACCACCTGCAGGTACTTACTGGGTGGATCCAAACCTTGGCTGCTCGTCCGACACCATCGAAGTTTCCTGCAACTTCACCCATGGTGGACAAACGTGTCTCAAGCCCATCACGGCCTCCAAGGTACCTGTCTCGTCCCCATCCACCGCCAACTGGCCCCCTCTACACCCACCAGGCCCTGGGCCACCGCCCACCCAAGTTTTGGTCTGAGCCTTGACTGTCCTGGTGCGTGGCTTCTTGTGACCCTCCATTTTCTCATCTACGAATCGGGGGATGAATTGTTCTAAATCCATGGTTTCTACACCCTTTCGAGATGTATGATGTTAATGGTTTTTATTTCAAATAGAACTTTCGGCCAATATCTAAAACAGCATAGTTGGGGCTCCTGGGTGGCTCAGTCGTTAAGCGTCTGCTTTCAGCTCAGGTCATGATCTCAGGGTCCTGGGATCGAGCCCCACATCGGGCTCCCTGCTGGGCGGGAAGCCTGCTTCTCCCTCTCCCACTCCCCCTGCTTGTGTTCCCTCTCTCACTGTGTCTCTCTCTGTCAAATAAATAAATAAAATCTTAAAAAAAAAAACAACCCAAAACAACAGCATAGTTGGCCAAGCTGGCCGGGCTTGGAGAACCAGGAACCATCAGTACAAGCTAAGTCATGGTGCCCAAGGTGTGTATGCAGGGTTTAGCTAATGTTTGATGTCTGCTTTCCAAGTGCCTGTCTCTGGGCTGAGCGCTTGAGGTAGCTCAGGGCAGCTCAGCAGCAAGCCAGGGCGGGCGGCGGCAGTGGGGTGCCACCGCTCCCCCACCCAGGGTACCCCATGGTGGATTGTGGGTCTGCAGGGGCGGCAAGTCCTCCATATGGGAGGATTCAGGCTCCAGGGAGAGGAGCCCACCTGCCTGTAGGGGAGGCGGGGACCCAGAGACCCATCCCATCCCATCAGTCCTCCTGGGGAGGCTCCAGGAGGTGCCTTAGGCTGACTGGGTCAGACCCAGGTTTTGAGAATCTTTGTGTGGGCCAGCTGGTCAGCAAGTCTTGCTGGGTCCCTACCATGTGCCAGACACTGTATCAGGCACTGGGATTCAATAGGAAACAGTAACCTCACCAGTGACCCTCCAGCCAGGCCCTTTCCCCCTCTGACTCTGACTCTGAGCCACACCCACCTGGCAGAGGGGGGAGGCCTGAGTGGAGGCACGTGCGTGGGTGGCCATCCCCATCACAAACAATGGCCACCATTTTGTACCAGTCTCAGCCTATAAATTACCAACATGGTGGCTGGACCAGCCCTTGTGGGTCTTACCATGATTGCAAGATGTCCTTCACGATCAAGAAACTTTGAAAAAATAAAGGTTTGTTTACTTACAGGACCTGGAAATTACACAGCACACCGGGGCCACCTAGCCAGCTTGCTGGGGGAGAGAATGAGTGTGCACGAGCCTGGGATTCTGCTTTTGTTGCGGTCCAGGGTGGGGGGGCTTAGGGCTTCCTGGGCTCACTCTTAATTGGTGAATTTAAAACATGACAGCGGGGATTTAAAGCACAGGAAGAGGAAAAAAAAAAAAAAAGGTGGTCCAAATGGCCAGCTTTGGCAATCTTGAAGTCTAAAACAAAGGAGGCTCAGCGCGGAGGCCACTGGCGGGGCTTTTCATTTATTCGAGATCGCAAGCTTTTTGAAGTGGATGCCTAGGCAATCAAAGCGTCAATCAGGCGCTTGCATTACACAAAGAAAAACCAACCGTCTGGGCTTTCAGGGCACTCACTGAAGCCATAAATCCCATCCTTGTTTGAGGTCACTGCCGTTTCTGGCGTCTTGGAACTTTTCTGAGGGTTGGGGAGGTCACTTCTCATTTCTCCTGTACTTGAAGAGCCTCTTGATCTTGCGCTAGTTCCTCTTTCTCTCTGGGCTTTGGGTTCCCAACTCAGCTCCAGAGAAAACCCCCACTCCCGGCGCCCATGCAGTGGGGGGGGTAGATCAGGTGACTTAGGACCCTCGTAGATCCGTCTCTGCACTCAGGCTGGCCTTGGTGCTTTCCCTTCCTTGTTACTCCTTGGCTGTGGACCGGTTCACACAGACCTCAATTTCCCTGTGTCTCCAGTGGGCACACGTCTGGGAGCAAAGCTGGGAAATGCTTGCCAGGAAAGAGCTTCTCCCTGTGCCCTCCAGAGTGAGGGGAGGGTTTCTGAGAGCCTTGGGCAGCCGGCCTGACCCTGCCTCACTGCTGCGTCTCTGCCACAGGTTGAGTTTGCTGTCAGCCGGGTCCAGATGAATTTTCTGCACTTGCTAAGCTCTGAGGTGACACAGCATATCACCATTCACTGCCTTAACATGACCGTGTGGCAGGAGGGCACTGACCAGACCCCGGCCAAGCGGGCTGTGCGCTTCCGGGCCTGGAATGGGCAGATCTTTGAAGCAGGGGGTCAGTTCCGGCCAGAAGTATCAATGGATGGCTGCAAGGTAAGCCTTGGGGCCCCTCACAGGCCTCTCATGCATGGACAAGTTGAAAAGATGTGTTTTTATTACAAAATAGTATATAAGAGTTCGTGTAATACATACTAGTATGTTACATTAGTATATTAGTATCATATGTGGTATTAGTATAATATTAGTAAAACATATTATTATTATCTTTGTGTAATAATTTTATTATAACGGTTTCATAAAACCCTTTTTATTCACTATCCTCTCTGGGAAACTTCTGAGAGAAAATCCAGCCATAAAAATTCCACAGGCTGATAAATGCTCTACTTACTTGTGAGGCTGCTTGTTAAAGAATGTATTTCTATTCTCTCTGCCCCCATCCTGGCCAGGCTAATTTCGTCTGTTAACATTTTTGGTTATTTTTAAATACCTAAGATTGGGTGGGTTGTTGGTGGAGGGGGAGTCAGAAAATTCTCCAAAAAACTAGCTTCACAAGATTAAACAAAACTAGTAATACACAATGTTAGTGAGGATATGGGGAAACCAACACTCTTGCACAAAGCTATTTGGGAAAAAATTGGTAGAGGCTTTCAGGACAGCAGCTGTATAAATATAGGGATACCTCAGAGATATTGTGGGTTTGGTTCCGGACCACTGCAATAACATGAATATTGTAATAAAGTAAGCCTAATTAATTTTTTTGGTTTCCCAGTGCATGTAGGAGTTATATTTACATTATACCATAGTTTATTAAGGGTGTAATAGCATCATGCCTAAAAAAAAAGGTCCATATCTTAATTAAAAAATATGCCACGTAATCACAGATCACAGGCCGCCAAAACAAATGTAAAAATGCTGAAAAAGTTTGAAATGTTGTGAGAATTATCAAGATGTGACGCAGAGACGCAAAGTGAGCAAATGCTGTTGGAACAATGACACTGACAGACTTGCTCGATGCAGGGTTGCCACTGACTGTCAGTTTATCAGAAACACAACATCTGGGAAGGTCAGGAAATGTGGTGCAACAAAACGAGGTATGCCCGTATATCCAGCGTATACGCTCAGCCTCAGAAACGTATGTATCCTTCCATCCAGCTGCTTCTAGAATTTGTTCTAGGGAAACAAGAAGTGGAGAAGAGCGTGCACAGAAGTTTAGCTACGGTGACATTGGTTACAGCATTCCTTACCAGAATAGACATAGTAGCAGCAATCGAAGTGGACCAATACAGGTCTTTGCTTCAGTGAAATGCCATGTATCCCTTACAAACGGTGAGAAAGATGATGGGGACATGCACACGTAGATGATGAGGTTTGTGATGGTTTCATGTGTACCCCTTTCCTTCTCTCAGGTCCAGGATGGGCGCTGGCATCAGACGCTTTTCACCTTCCGGACCCAGGACCCCCAGCAGCTGCCCATCATCAGCGTGGACAACCTCCCTCCTGCCTCATCAGGGAAGCAGTACCGCCTCGAAGTTGGACCTGCATGCTTCCTCTGACCTCTGACCTCCTGGCTCCTCTAGGCCTCGAGGGGGAGGGAGAAGGAGGGGACCTAGGGGCACATGGGCCCAGGAGAGGCAGCTCACCTGCCCAAGGATCCTTGGGTAGGCCCCAGCTGTTGTCTGCCCGGTAGAAGTGGCCGGGGCGGGGGAGGGGTGGCAGGGAACTGGGTATCCTTGGGACCAACTGATCCCAGCCCCAAAGACCAACCAAAGAGCCAGCCAGAGCGAGCTGGGCCTGCAAGCTGCCTGAGCCCCGCGGCCTGTCTCCCAGCCCCGCGGCCAACCCCTGTCCTCCCCAGCTTCCTGCCCAAAGAGCCCCATGTTCCAGCCAGCTTGAGGGGAGGGGGCATCTCTCCAGCTGGTCCCTGCCAGGGAGCTTTGATGTGCAATATTAGAGAGGAGACATGAAAAAGGAGAAAAGGAAAGAAAGAAGTATATATATTTTATTTAAACAAACACAAAGAAGGTGCATTACTATTTCTTCACCCGGGAAAGAGGTGGTAGAAGAACCAGCCAGAGGGTGGGAAGCGGTGGAGGCCGGGAGGGGGTGGCGCGACCCTCAGGGCTGGGGCCCCCGTGCTAGCTACCTCCCACTGTGAAATCGCTGGTGCTCGCAACTGTCTCGTAGTGTATGTGATTTTTTTAAGGAAAAAAAAAAAAAAGCCTATTTAAGATTCTGAAGGTGCTACCATTTTTGCCACAGACTTTGAAGAACCATTTTGATGTGGGGTATCATCCACATTTTGCTCTCTCCTCCAAATGAGAAAGTTGGGGGAATCTAAAAATGTTCCTAGTATCACCCTTTTGCTCTTCAGGTAATCGACTAAGTGGGGGGAGTGGAAGGAAAAAGGAAAAAAAAATGCAAAGCCGAAAAAAAAAAAAAGAAGAAGGAAAAAAACCTGCCAGAAACAGAAGCAGGAAGATTTACCTTTTAATTTATGGACTTTGAAATATTTCAAATATTTCAGGAGGAGGCCTGAGCGTGAAGGATTTTGGCCTTGGCCTCTCATGGCCCTGGAGGGAAATTAGGCTTATCTTGGAAGGTGGGATCTAGACTGGAGAGTCATGGGAGAAGACTTGACCTTGAAGAAACCAGTTGTAAGAGCGGTGTTGGGTCAGTGCTGGCCTTGGAGGTGGAATATCAATTTAGAGCCATCTTACAAGGCCCCATACCATTCCCTAAGATCCTCCCTTCCAGGAGCTTGTCCCTTCCAAGATGTGGCCATCACTCTTGCTTTTCCATCGTCATTAAATTTTCTAGAAACCTGGCGTCATTAGCTCCAAGTGTAAATGTGGGCTGAGGAGAAAGAATAAATATGGGGATCTCGGGGTTCAGTGTGATGGGGAGATTCAGTGTCATCTGAGTTGTCCTCTATCAGAGAACAAGTCAGCGCCCAGGTTGGATTTTGAGGTTATTTTAAGTATGGGATTATTTTTCTAGAAGGGGAAATTTTATGTGAACGTCTATCTGTGTCTTTTTTTTTTTTTTTTTTTTTTTTTACCTAAAGTTGTGTCTCTTTGGGAATTGGATTTGATTTTTATTATTTAATACCTCAGTCCGGCCCGCCTTCCCCACCAGACACTTCTGTATGCCTCGCCATCCCGCCCCAGCAAAGACGCTCCCCGCGGAAGTGTGTTGTAGCAGCTCGGGCCTCATCTCAGCCCTCGCTCCCCCCCCACCCCCCCACCCCCGGCCAGTCTCCACCTGGCCTCTGTCTCGTTCTTGGAATTTTCTGCTGTCCTCGTTTATGTCTGTCCACATGTCAGTGTGTTAAAACCCCAGTGGGTTCTGTTTCTCCTTTTCCCTTCTGGATTTTAAATAAATATTTAAAACTGAGGCAATGGAATGATGCATCTGTGGCCGTGTGTTTTTAAAAAGCCCGGAGGGAGGTTTCTGGCCGGGCTGGGGAGAAAAGATGCTCAGAGGATGCTGCTTCCCCTGAAGGAGGTGGGTAGGGGGAGATAACGGCACCAGAGCAGGGGGAGGGGAGTGAGTGCTGAAGGCGAGGGGGTCCAGGTCCCATGGCGTATCTGTTTCTTAGGGTTGCTGGTAATAGTACCACAGACCTGGAGGCTTAAAACAGCAGAAATGCATTCTCTCCCAGTCCTGGAAGCTGGAAGTCTGAACTCCAAGTGGTGGCAGCGCCGTGATCCCTCTGGTGCTTCTAGGAGACAGCCCTTACCTCGGTCAGCTTCTGGTGGCCCCAGGCATTCCTCAGCTCCTAGCTGGAGCAATGCAGTCGCTCTGCCTCTGGAGTCACATGACCTTCTTTCTCCCGTGCAGCTCCGTGTTCCCATCTTTTTATAAGGACACCAGTCCTATCGGATGAGGACCCACCCTAATAAGCCCATCTTGACTTGATTACACCTGCAAAGACCCTATTTCCATGTAAGGCCACATTCACAGGTAATAAGCTTAGGACTTCGACATATGTTTTTGGGGGGACACAATACAACCCATGACACACAGGGAGGAGGTATATTGAGGTTAACGTGAACAATTCCCTTTTTTTTTTTTTTTTTAGCGTAGTAACATAGAAGACTTACCATTCATGACATTTAGTATATTCACCATGTACAAACTGTGCAACCATCTAGTTCCAGAACATTCTCAACGCCCCAAAAGGAAACTCCATACCTGTGAAGGAGTCACTCCCCATTCCCCTCTGCCCAAGCCCCTGGAAAAGCACTAACCTGCTTTCCAACTTTGCCTGCTGTGGATATTTCACATCAAAAAGAATTCTATTTCAGATCAACAGATTCCTGTTTTGCAGATGGGAAAGTTCAGTCAATTCAATGTCTGTTCCCAGCGCCCCCCCCGACCCGCCAAGAAAGCTCACAATATATGACCTTCTTTCGGGTAGCGTGATTTCAAGCTTCATCCTTGTGGTACGTACCCATACAGTACTTCATTCCGTTTTATGACTCGATAATGTTCTACTATATGGATGTACCACGTTTTGATTATCCATTCATCCACTGATGGACATTTGGCTTGTTTCCATCTGGAGGAGCTTGTGGCCAGTGCTTCAAAGTGAGCATTTCTTATCTATGAGATTCTTGAGAGAGGCCAGGACAGCTCCTGCCTGGGAGGGAGGGAGAATCTGAGAGATCGTTAGCCAGATTTAGCAAATACATATACAGGACCACACAGATAAATGTGAATTTCAGATACATAGTAGCAATATTTTAGCATAGGTATGCCCCCATGCGATATCTGGGACATGTTAGGACATATTTATACCTGCTGGACCTGGCATGTGTATCTCCTGGCCTTGGTTTGGAGTTCTTCCTTTCTGAGCTTGGTCCTCCCACCCTGGGACCTTGCATAAACCAGAGCTTTTCTGCCCTTCTCCCCTAGGAGAAAGAACAAATCATAAGCGGTTGAATTCATAGCTGGAATTTTCTTTAGTTTTAAAACTTTGCTATAAGTTTCCAGGTTTTCCAGGTCACCAGTGCACATGCAGCCGGGTCCCCCCTCCCCTCCACACCCTGGCACCTGCCCCAGGCACCAGGTGGACTCGGAGAGTCGTGTCCGCAGAGCCCAGAATTCATGGTCTGGAAGGGCTTGGCGATTCCCACAGCCCAGATACACCCTGTCATTTTACGTAGAAGGTAACTAAAGCCCAGGGAAATGCCCGAGCTCACCTGCCGAGGCCAGGGCGAAGCCTCGATTCAAACCCAAGACTGCTGACAGGTGGGTCTCACTATGGCCCCCTGGGATTAGCAGAGCCAGCAGCCCCTGGGAGGTGGGTACAAATGCACATTTTCAGCCCCAACCCAAACCTACCGAATCACAGACTCCCAGGTTGGGGCCCAGCAACCAACGTTTTATTAAGCCTCCCTGGAGATTCTAGTGCATGCTCAAGTCCCAAGAATTGGGACCCTCTGCTATTTCCTAAATCTGGAAAACAGTTTCCAAAACTGGGCGGGGGGGAACCTTGGAAATGAGATAAGAACGTTCTTTTTATTTCTTTGAAAATGAATCAGAAATGAAACTGAGACAGAAAGGCCTGCTTCAACTGAATTATTTCCTGAGCTCCACCCTATACTGTCACCCCCAGAGAGTTTGCCCCGCTGTTGGATCCCGCTTCCAGAGGGGAAGGTCCGGTCACTCGGATGTCTCTGTCCCCGCAGGAAGCTCTGTGAGGGCAGGGGATGGATCTGTCCTCTGCTGTAGTCAGGGAGTACAGCATGTTGGAGGACTCAACTTGTCCAACAAGGCTCATTGGAATTTTGCCTTGACGAGCACGCCTCAGCAGCCCCTTCCCTGCGCCAAGCCTTATGTGGGCACTGGAGTTCCAGAGACAGGATTGACAAGGGTGTCTGAGGGGCTCTGAGTCTGGTGGAGGCCACTGGAGGAGTTGGACCTTGTGTGGTTAAGGGTTAGGAAAGCCGGCAGCAGGAGGCCAGACTGGGTGGGCTGGGGGTGCGGGGAGCAAAAGGAGAGCGTGGCTGATGCAATCTCAGCGGAGGATAGTCAGGGGGTGACACCTTGTATTAACCAGTCTCCAGAGAAATGGAACCAATAGGATGTGTGTGTGTGTGTGTGTGTGTGTGTGTAAAGAGATTTATTATAAGGAATTGGCTAACATGATTGTGATTGCCGGCACGTCCCAAGATTTGCAGAGGGAGTTGGCCCATTCAAGACCCTGCAGAGCGGATGGTTTCATTCCAGTGTAAAGCCTGGCAGGCTGGGGAGCCAGGAAGAACCAAGGTTTCAGTTCATGCCTAAAGGCAGGAAAAGACTGATGCCCATCTCCACCAGTCAGGTGGGAGGAATTCTCTCTTACTCAGACTTTCAATGCTAGTCAGGCCTTGGACAGATGGGACGAGGCCCAGCCCACACTTGGCAGGCAGGAGGCAATCTGTTTTACCCAGGTTATCCATTCAAATGTTAGTCTCATCTAAAAACACATTCACGGCCACGCCCAGCATGTTTGACCAAATATCTGGGTACCCCATGGCCCAGTTAACTTGACACGTGACATTAAGCATCCCAAGCTGAGGCTATCAGTGATAGAGGATGAATGACGGTTTGCCCGGTGAGGAAGGACACCGGGAGGGGAGGGGGTAGCACCTGCCAAGGCTGGGAAGTAAAGGGAGCACTGCCCATTTGGGGAACAGTATACTCGCTGTTCAAAATGATGCTTCAGGATAGGATGTGGGGAGCCCCAGGGTCCTGGGCTGGGCTTAGACAAGCTGCAGGTTGCACAGGTCAGCGGGGCCGGGCTCGCTTGGCCGGGCTGGGTTCGAGCGGCAGCGGGGCCCTGTGGAGCTGTCCAGGAGGCAGCCAGCTGGGCTGGAGGGCAGCAGAGAGGTCTGCGCCACGGTCGGAGCTGCGGAGGCGTCAGGAGCCTCTGCAGGGCTCTGAGGACCCGGGAGGGGGTGAGAGAGTCGGGAGGAAGGTTCCAGAGGGGAAGAGAAGGATGGTTATGTGAAAACCGTGACCCTCACAACTCTCAGTCGGCGTTCCAGGAGGGCCTCTGGGAGCTGGCCCATGAGGCCTCTGACGCTGGGCCAACTCCTTCCCAGCAGGGGCAGGTAGCAGGTTGTCGGGGAGCCAGGAGGCAGCTCTTCGGGGGCTGGCAGTGGCTGTGCTTCCCAGTCCCCCATTGCACAACTGTCAGGAACCAGCCAGAGTGGACTTCCCAGTGGGGCCAATCCTGTGTTTGCTCTGTCCACAATGAATCAAGCCACCGCCACGGACAGTCACATTCCACCAATGACCAGCCACCCCGTGCTGGGAAAAGGACAGAGGGGCAAGCAAGAAGGGGAGAGTCCAGCAGGTGGATTCCAGTCCCAGGTTCCTGATGGGGACGTGGTCTTGGGTGGCTCATTCCTTCTCTCTGGGCCTCAGTTTCTCCCTCTGCAAAATGGGGGAGCTAAGCCCGTCCCTGCTGGCTACCATAGACCGAGATCTTGTTCTGTAATAGCGGGGCAAATCGTCTGACACTGAATGGTATTCAACTGCTCTATAAAAATGCAGTTTCATATGGTTCAATCCAATACTCAGCACAGCACCTTTCAAAATAATAGCTACGGTGTCTTGCACACTTATTGTGAGCAGGAGCCCTACTGAGTGTGATACGTTTTCATCTCATGCACAACCCTCTTGAGACATGTGTTACTACGCCAGCTCTTCAGATGAGGGAAGCCAAGTCCAAAGAGGTTACATAAGTTGGCCAAGATCACAAAACAGGATTTGAACATGAGCAAATCTTTTTGAGTGTTTCCTCAGCCCAGACACAAAGTTCCTGATTAGGATCATTGGCTCTGCCAATGTATTCTTCGTGGCTGTTCATGCAGAAGACCACAAATTAGTCGTCAGACACAGAGCTCAGCCCTGGCCTCGATGGAGAAACACATATAAAGTGGCTTTCTCAGAAGACAGATCCTTTCAAATGGGTGCAGTCCCCTGATGATCTAAATCTCGCCTTTCACCTGACTGCTCTGAGCTATTTGTTTCCTTATCCATTCAATGGGGAAAGTATATTATTTTCTTGAACCTCTTATCGACATATTTTTGCATTTTGATGTCTTAGATGTGGGATGTAACCTGCCATCCCGGAAATATTTATGTAACGCAGGAGTCTGTCTGTTTTTTCTCCCTATCCCAGCTCGACATTAAACCGACGGTGATGGTTCTTATGGCTGGTGAACTCTTAGAAACAAGTGTGTTTCCTTTAACGAGCACGTTACAAATGTGAACTGATTTAATCTGCTTAATAACCTGATAAAGTAGCTACTCTCCGTATCCCCATTTTATAGATGGGGAAATTGAGGCACAGAGAAGCTAAGTAACTTGCCCAGGGTCACACAGCTAGCAAGTGGTCGAGCCAGGACGCTACTTCACCATCCTGGACGACCCTGATTGCTTTCATTCTATTTTCTGTCGAACTTCTCTTGACATTGGGCCTGGACCAGATGGAGGGGCAGGGTAGGGAGGGCTGTGCAGATGCTCGATCCACAGAGGTACTAAAGCATCCTTGAAATGTAAGAAGACAGAGAAAATGGTACTGTGTCAGGGCGGGTGCTGGGTGCACTTGAAGGAACTACTTGGAGAGCCTCTTGGGAGGAGAGGGAGACCTCCAGGGGCACCTGAGCGACAGTGAGGACCCCTCACTCCATCTGAGGAGAGGGGCTCCATTTACTCGCTGTAAGAGAAAGCATTCATTTCTCTCTACGCTACTCACCAAACATGGGGCCACCAAATGCGATTCAAGGACAGGGCAGAAGAGGGAAGGATTCTTTGCCTGGGACCTGACCAGCATTAGTTGTGAAGAAGGAGGTTTAGGGCTATGGGTCACTCTTGTGCCAGTACCAGACACCAGATCCCAAGTGACAGAGGTGCTTCTCTGTTATTTAATAAGCTTTGTGTGTGTGTGTGTGTGTGATATGTGAGATCCTCTAAAGCTCTGGGCTCTGGGCAGAAGCCTCGATGGCCCAGGGTAATGGCGGTGTTATATCCATGTAACCATCAGCTTCTCCTTGCTATAAGCAATGTCTCCAATCTGTCCGCAGTCCCATTGTCTCACACCGGGACCACTGCGACAGCCTCCGACCCCTCTCCCAAGCTGATCCCCTACGCTGACTGCCCCCCCATCTTCCCCACTGCAGACAGAGGGATCTTTGTAAAGAGCAAATCTATTCATCTCCCACCCCACTTAAAATCTTTCCATTTCCCTTAATACCTGCAGGGTCCACTACAAACTCCCCACCCCGGCTTCCATGCCCTGCAGGCTCAGTTCCCGCCAACCTCTCCAGCATCAGTCCCCCGTCACTCCCACGCCATCCCACTCCCAGCCCCAGGGACCCCAGGTCCTTCATGCACCATGCACTCTCTCCCCTCCACTCTTCCCTGCTGACGAGCTCCGCTTCTTTTCTCAAGACTCAAATTAGAGCAATGCCAATCCAAAACACTAAGTGAGCTGGCAAAAAAAAGAAAGAGAAAGGGAATTCCACGTCTGACAAGGATGTGGAGAAGGAGACTCATCTGTACCTCGCCAAACTGGCACCACATTAAACAGCGTTCGTGTTTTTTGATTTGTCACGTGTTTTGTCTTCTTTGTTTGGGGAGAGAGTTTTTTCTTTTTTTAAATCAACTTAATTGAGGTATAATTGGCATACAATAAAATGCACACATTTTAGGTTTGCGGTTCAATGAGTTTTCACAAATGTACATTATGCGCATAACCACCCCTGCAGCAGAAATGTGGAGGACTGCCATGGACTTCAGAAAGTGCTCTTACAACCTCTGGCAGTCAGACTGCCCTGCTTGCCCTAGGCAACCACCGGTCTGATTTCTGCCATTCCAGATTCATTTTGGCCGTTCTAGAACTTTCTATAAATGGAACCATACAGTACGCGCTTCATTAGTCTGGCTTCTTTTGCTCAGCAGAATGTTTTGGAGATTCATTCATGTTGTCTCATATACCAGTAGTTGGTTCATTTTTATTGCTAAGTAATATTCCCTTTACGAAAATGTTACGATGTGTTTTTCCATTTTCCTGATGCCGGGTATTTGAACTGTTTCTAGTTTTTGACTATTTTGAATAATACTGTAGTCTTGTCCATGACATATTTTTCTTTCTCTTGAATGGTAGGGTAATTTTAGAAAGCGATTTGTTCACTTTCTGAAACTTAGCATTCCAAGGAAACATCACAATATGAAACGCTATAGGCAATTGTATCTCTAGAAAGCTGGAAAAATAAAATAAAATGCTATGGGTATAAAGAGAAGACATCATTAAGTATGCTGGAATCTAGGAAGAGCACGATAGGGGTATGCGCATATTAAAATTATAACCATAACTACACGGAAACGTGAAAAATGACTCAAAATCTATGAAATGAATAAAGATATAAAACTGTAAGCATACCATAAGAAGACTTTTTGGAGGTATTTCTTCATAGGGCTAAAGATCTGCCCCGGTCTGGCAGAAATGCTGGCCGGCTGTGGAAGCCTCATCTGCAGTGCTGGGTGCTGTCCAGGGCTGGGCACCTCCTGGTGAGAGGAGAGGCCACCTTCCTGTTCCCCTGGCAGGGGCTGGAGACCACACGTGCGTAATTTCTTGTTTCAGACATTGAGAGCTAGTTCAGGTAATACTGCATTTACTGGAACTAGATGACGCCTCTTCCGTTTGGAAGCATCCCTGCCTCCGAGGCTGGGTTGGCACCCCCTCCCCCAGTGGAATTCTGTTCTCCCACGGTTGTTACCACACTCAGCTGGAATAGAATCCACGTTTTGCCATCCCCCCCGACCCCGGAGCTCTCCTCCCCTCCATCCCCGACCCCCACCACACCTAGCCTGGGAACTGTCTAAATTGCCCTCAGCATTTGATTTATGGTTGGCTCTCACCCAAGTCTGGGTGCTCAGTGGGACAGGAATTGTGTAAAAAAACATGAAAGCTTTTAAAATAAAACAAAACAAGGGGCGCCTGGGTGGCTCAGTTGGTTAAAGCGACTGCCTTCGGCTCAGGTCATGATCCTGGAGTCCCGGGATCGAGTCCCACGTCGGGCTCCCTGCTCGGCGGGGAGTCTGCTTCTCCCTCTGACCCTCCCCCCTCTCGTGTTCTCTCTCTCTCTCATTCTCTCTCTCTCAAATAAATAAATAAAAATCTTTAAAATAAAACAAAACAAAACAGGGGCGTCTGGGTGGCTCATCAGTTAAGTGTCGCCTTGGGCTCAGGTCATGATCTCAGCGTCCCGGGATCGAGCCCCACATGGGGCTCCCTGCTCAGTGGAGAGCCTGCTTCTCCCTCTCCCTCCGCCCCTCCCACCCGCTCTCGCTCTCTCTTGCTCTATCTCAAATAAATAAATAATCTTTAAAATAAAACAAAACAAAACAACCCCTCAGAGCTTGCTTAGAGGCCCCTCTGTTGAAATCTACACGTTTAATAACACCACTCCAGCCCACACCCACCTTGGCTTTGAACAGCAAGACCTTGGGGCCCTAGTAACCCTTCAGCTCAGGGTTCTGAATTAGACCCGGGCTTGGAGGCTTTAGCTCCAGCTCCCTTTGGGGGAAGGAGGGAAGGCTTTGTGCTAGGCATTTCGCAAGCGCTGGCCGGATTGTGTCACAAGGGGGCTCCAGGGATCCGCCCACAGCTCCTTATAAAGGTCACTCCACCCTCCAGCCACCAGTTCGGCCTGACTCCACGTGCCCTCCATCTAGGCATGGCGCTGTCCTGGGCCCTTGCTGCCCTGAGCCTCCTTCCTCTGCTGGACGCCCAGAGCCCGGTGTGTGTCAGCCTCACAGCAACACCCATCACCAACGCCACCCTGGAGCAGGTGCGTCCCTGGGCCCCTGACGCCACGGACAGCGGCCTCCTTCCCTGGGCTTCCCTTTCTCCCGCTGGCTTGCGGTCAGCCCCCTTGCCTGATTCTGCCTGATTCTGCCCTTTTTTCTCCTGGGTCCTGGGGTGACATTCTGACCAGCCTCTGGAGGCATTTTTTCCTACTTCCAAACTCAGAAGCCTCATTGCAAGGTCCCTCAGAGGGGACATTCTGTCCTGGACAAGAAGGGGCCACCCAGTGGCTGGGGGAGGTGCCTGATCCTCAGAGGGAGCTCCTGCATGTCCCTTCCTCGCCTGGGGCCCCAGTCTCCCTGTGTGCAAAAAGGAGGGGAGCGTCTACCTGCCTGGCTAGCAGGAGGATTCGGCTCCCGGCCTCTATCATCAGCTCTTGGCTTCTCCCCAGATCTCTGGCAAGTGGTTTTATATTGCCTCGGCCTTCCGCGAACCGGAGTTCAACCAGTCATCTAGAACGATCCATTCGGCCTACTTTTACTTTGCTCTCAACCATACAGATGACACAATGCTGCTCACAGAGTACCTAACCATGTAAGACCCTCACGTGCTAGCTCAGCCCCAGCCCCAGGCTTCTGCTCCTAGCTTCTAGGAAACCTTGAGCAAGTCCCTCCTTCCTCCTGGCTTCAGCCTTCTCATCCACGGAACGGGGAGGGCAGACTAGTCGCCGCCAACTCTTACCCCTCGATGATAGTGACCAATGATTGTCCACTTCTTCTCGACAATCTTCCTCTTTTTCTCCCCTCTTCTGTCTGGCTTTAGTGGGAACCGGTGCATCTATAACTCCAGCTATCTGAAGGTCCAGCGGAAGAATGGGACCGTATCCAAAGACGGTGAGGACCAGCCCTCAGGCAGGAGGACTGGGGTGTGTCATGGGGACATGTGGGTGGGCCAGCCGAAAGCGGCACAGAGAACCCAGGACAGACCCTCTTCCTACGAGTCCGAGGTCCCAGGGCCTGCACACTGCAGTACTGAGTAATAACTGCCCACAGATTTGAGCTCTCTGTGCCAGGCACTGTTTGAAGGACTAGAATTAACTCACTTCAGACTCATAAACAACCTTAGGAGGACATGACGGTGATCGGCTGAGGAAACAGAGAAACAGAGATGCCAAGTAGTTTCCCTGAAGTCACACAGCCTGTAATTAGCACTAGAATCAAGCCCATGGCTGGCAGCGGTCCTGCCTCTCTCAACTGCTCTTTCTCCTTTGGGATCTGAGGGTGGCTGTCTGTGTCAGGTAGGCAACGAGTCCCCTGCTGTCCCCACCATCACCCTGGAGAGGGCACATGGTAGGAGCATGGTGGGATTACACCAATAGCCCTGGGCAGCCCTGAGGCTCCTGTCTGGGCCGCACTTTCCTCATCTGGAAAATGGGGACAAAGGCCCTGACAGCCACAGTCCACGTGAGGCTCCCTCGATTCCACATCTCAGCGCAGGGCCTGGCACACAGTAGGAGCGAGGGTCACGTGGCCCAGGTGACCTCCTGGGCTTCACTGACTGCTGTGGGGCCATGGGCACACGATCTCCTCGCCTGAGATCGGGACCACTGTGCTGTGTGATCTCACCCAGAGGTTTTCTTCTCCAGAGTCCGGCAAAGAGGTATTTGCCGATCTCCTGCTCACCAAGGATCCCAAGATCTTCATGCTTGGCTTCTCCCTGAAAGACGAGCAGAACAAGGGTCTGTCCTTCTATGGTAAGCACCCCTCCAACGTCCAGCCCACCCAGGCCTCACCCAGCAGACCACCTGCCCCTGCGGCTGGACCCCCAGAGCCCCTGCCCTCCCCGGCGTCCCAGCTGGGCCCCCGGGCCTGCTCACCCAGCCCCCTTGCTCCGTCCTGCAGCTGACAAGCCGGAAGTGACCGAGGAGCAAATGAGAGTTTTCCATGAAGCCATCAGGTGCATAGGCATGCAGAAGTCGGAGATCAGTTACACCGATGCAAAAAAGGTGAAGGCAGGGAGGACTAGGCAGTGGCCACTGTCAGGGCCATCCTGCTCGGGGCAGCCCCAGAGGCCCAGAGAGGGAGAGCTGCCGGCCATAGCTGCACAGTGAGGCAGGACGTCTTACTTTTAAGCACCTGCCTCACTGCAGGGACAGCTGAGCTCCCTAGAGGCCCAGGTGATGAGGCCCCAGAGGGAGAAGTCCCTGTGAAACAGGGAGGACTGGAAGGGAGGAGGAACAGCGGGGAAAAAGGGTGGCAGCGGGAACTTGACAGAGAAACACACGAGGGTAATTACCGTGGACACCTGCTGGCCACCGCCCAGATGTCTGACACCTGTGGATGGGGAGTCGCTACTGTGCTTTTTAGCATCACCCAAACTGCCCCAAGTCCAGGACCACCACCCCGATTTTTGTATACCTGGGAATTACCTATAAAATAACCTCCCCAGTGCTTTCCATTCAACCCCTGTTCAGGGTCGTGTCCTATGCAATAATATCTAAAATCACAGGGCTGATGAGCGGGCTACACTTTTTTGGATATACATGAAATGCTTTATTTTTATTAATTATTATTAAAATAAAAAGGTCTCTGTTGGCCACTCGAGGTCATGTCCCGTGACTACCAGTAGCCTAAACCCCCTCCCGGCCCCGGTCCCGGGAGCCGCGGGCAAGGACTGGGCACACAGCACCGATGGACCCCCATCTAGTAGCTGGGGGATGGCGGACAGGCCACATGGCCGCCCCGAACCTCAGTTACATCATCCGCACCATGGCTGTGAGGAATCAGATCGACCTAGGGGCTTGGCAAGTCCTCAGTAAACGCCAGTTGGTAAAGGCTCGAGCCCCCATCTGGAGGTGGAGAAGTTGAGGTCAGAGAGGGAAAACGCCTGGCCCAAGGTCCCTGAGCTGGCGCCACAGTCCGCAGCTCACCCCCTGCCCCCCACAAGAGCGCCTCCCATCACCGTGCTCTCCTCTCCCGTCCTCTAGGATCTGTGTGGGCCACTGGAGAAGGAGCACAAGGAAGGAAGGCCGGAGGAAAAGGAGGGAGACACAGCACTGGGTTAGGACCTTGGGGACTTTGGGGCCCATCGTCAGCCCTACGCCCACCCCTTGGACATCAGGTTTTTGTCTCAGGTCCATCAATAAAGCTTCTGCATTTGAAACAGGAGTCAGGTGGTCGTTTGCTCCTTCCGTCGCTCACCCATTCATGCATGTTGAAGCCTGCCCTGAGCGGAGCCCTGGCTGATCACTGGCTACGCCCCTGCCCCTGGTGGGAAGAGCCCCCACTGTCATACCCAGCACAGCTGGGACGATGGTAGGCACACAGTGCTGTGGGAGCCCAGCACGGGGGAGGTTCCTTCTGCAGTGGAAGTCTGGGAAGGCTTCCTGGAAGGGGCATCTGAACCAGTCTAGAAAGATTTGGAGCTGATAACACCTGCTGTTCCAGCTGCAAGCCAAGATCTGAGAGGATGTGTTTGAGAAACACTGAGGCAGAGAGCCCTGGGAGGAGTTCCGGTGAATGGGGCGGGGGGAGGGGGGAGGACTTCGGCGTGTGGTGCCAAGCATGAGGGCCCTCACCTCAGACATCACCGTGGCTCTCTGGGGAGGCGAGGTGGGAGGGGGCCGGCCCAGGGGCAGAGAGAGTCTGGCAGAGGCAGCTGTGAGCATCCTGGCAAGAGGGGGGAGCCTGGGCAGGGGCAGGCCGGGGAGAGGCGGAGGGACTGTGTGTCTCCAGAGTGTCCTCGGGGTGCCCATCTGACGGCCGGCGGTGAGGTTGGCCCCTAGACACCAGCCACCTTGCAAATATGCTTGGGGCCCCGGAGATGGGGCCATGTCGGAGGCAGGCCCGCGTAGAGGCACGAAGACAACCGAGCCCCCGAACCCGGGAGTCCAGCAGGGAAGGCCGGCTCCGAGAGTTACGGGCACGGGAGGGAAGCAGCACCACTCAGGTGCCAGAAGAGTCGGGGCCACGTTGTCCAGGCAATTCGGTGCGGGAGCGGCCTACGCCGTCCAGAGTGACAGGGCCGTAACCCTGGCCCCTGGCGCGGCTCCCGCGCCACCACCCTCCCAAGAGCTGGGCGGCACGGAGCCCAGACTGCAGCATCCTTGGCTCACAGCGGGAGCCACGCGGCGCCCAGGGCGCTGAGGCTGGGGACACGGCGCTGGGCCCCCACCCCCGCGCCCTTGGCTCCCCCTTCCCGCCCTCATCCTGGCACCCAGGGCGGGGTGGACCCGGACGCTCAGAGCCTACAAGAAATCTCTGCTTCTCAGCCAACTGCCATTTCCAACTCCGCAGAGGAGGACCCGCGGGAAAATGAAATCGCCACGGGGCCTGGTGGGCAGGGAGCAGCGAGCGTGAGGCGCGGGGAGGGGGCTGGAGAAAAAGCCCAGGGCAGGCCAGAGGGCGGCGGGGGGAAAAGATATACAAATATCACGAAGGAAAGCACAGTAACAAAGAAAACAGACTTGGGAGTCAGACGTCGGGAGGCGGTGCGGACAGCCGTCTGGAACCTCCGTCTCTCGTCCACGAAGGGGGCACGTGGAGGGGGCCTGGAGGGCTGGTGTGCGCCCTGTGGAGCCCAC